GTGAGCAAGGGAAAGTGCTTTGATTTCGGTCCTTAACATCACCACACAACACGTTATTGCTAATGTGGAGTTCATTATTAATGCGTTCCAAGCTTGTGAACTTTTGTGCCTTTAACGTGTTCAATTCAACAAACATTTAGAAGGTAGCTCTTAGCTGCGTAGAATCAGAAATTGTTTTCTGTTAGTGGTGTGGAGGCCGACACTGGGGTCTGACATTCTCTCTGCACGCTGGAACACTGATGTGTATCTGTTGCGTGTTGTGTTTGATCGACCGACTCATTAATTCATTCATTTGGTGCCTCTCATGCGTTATTAATCTTTCCAAACTCCTTGACTAGATACTAAGCTCCCAGAGGACACACATCACTACTAATAACAATAGCAAATGCTACTGTGCATTTCCTACAGTGTATTCCCAACAGTCGGCCAGAGCTGTTCTTTGTGGGAGCGTGAGAGAGACACTTGGCAAATTCTGTGGAATGACCAGACACTGCATGGGTTCCTCCTAAACCTGGATCTGTAAGATGGGATGATAGTGGCACCTGCCTCAGAGGGTGGCTGTGAAGGGGGCAGCTGATGGCTGTAAAATATTTAAAGTGACTGGCACGTAGAAGACGAACACTGTCATCAGCTGTTCTTACCCCATTATTGCTTATTGGAATGTTCTCCGTCCTGAGAAAACCTTTATCTCCAGTGTTAAGATGGAGTGTCAGGCCTGTTCCGGTCATTCCCCACTGTTCCGCTTAAAGTTCCATCTTATACCCTGTAATTTTTCATTCTTTCTCCCTTGCACAAAATTTCAGGAAGTTGCATAGTCTTCCGTGTACACTGTCTGTTATCCTTTGACCCCAGGCTAAGGACAGGGCCTTGCTCAATGAAGCACCTGACTCCAGCGCCCCCTGCTGTCTGCTGTCTCTCAGTGGAAAATGCAACTGACTGAGAAAAGCTTTATTTACCATGTTTGAGTCATGAGGTCCTACTAAAAATTCCATGCAAATTTACTAAACCCGAAATTAGATTGATGCTTATCTTTCTCTGGTCTCTCCAACTTGATTTTTTATCTCGTTGAAACTTTTCAAAATTTGGTTGTTCCTTAATTGGGCCTTTTTTCATGTAATTTTTCTTCCTCTTGCTGTTTTGCTTTAATTTTTTCTTATGCGTGTCTCTTTTTCAGTTTGGCAAAGCCCAACAAGGTGTGTGGTGCAACAAATGACCGAGTCAATGGCATCTCCAATGAGAATGGGGGACAAGTAGCCCCCGAGGATCTCCCACAGGATGGTGACTTCAGGCTGGCTAAGGAAGACCCAAATGGATTTAGAGCAGGTTGTGGGTGTATTGGGCAGACTGAATTGACCAGAGACCTTTGAACCACCAGGGTCTACATTCTCTTGGGACTAATAAACTTCCCCCAAAGTGCCCCAGAACCAAGCTGGCCTTAGCTGGAGATGGCACCTTCGAATGTTGGGAAGGGTGGACACGTGGCTCTGTGGAAGTACTGTGGTGGGAAAACCATCTGGGTTAGCTGTATGTCAGAAGCAGGTGACAGTGACCCACCAAGAATCTGCATGAAGCGGCAGCAGCTGGCTACCTGCCTACTAGGACTAAGGACAGGGCACCCACCTCAATTCTACATGTAAGGTGATGCCATCCATGTGGGGTCATGTAGATCTGTCAAGTCATTTGAAGTAGGGACCAGGGCTTCTCTCCTGTCTCTAAGGCAGTATCCCTCCATAGGGGATGTGTTCACAAGGTCCTTTTGTGCACCAGGGATACATCCTGGTTCCACTGTCTGAGGTCCCTTAGCCTGCTCAGTCCTTATGGCTGAGACCCATATTCAGGGGGGCTTGAATCAGTCCCATGCTGGATTCCCAGCTATCAGTCTGGGGGCCCTTTAGCACCTCCTTGATTAGGTCAGCTGTCTTTATGTGTTTCTGCAACCTGCTCTTGTCCTCTCCCTCTGCATCTGGATTCTAGTTCAACTCAGTGTTTAGGTATGGGTGTTTGCTTCTGTTTCCAACAGGTACTAGATGAGGGCTCCATGATGGTGGATAAGTTAGTTGTTGATCTCACTATCTGGGAAGGGCATTTATGGTAGCCTTTCCACAGTTGCTCAAATTGTTGGTTGGCAGCAGTCTTGTAGGTCTCTAGACCTTTCTTTAGATTCAGTTTTCTGAGAAGAGAGACTTTTCAATTGAGAAAATGCTCCCCAGCCTAAGATTGGTCTGTGGTCAAGTCTGTAGGGCATTTTCTTAACTAGCAATTGATGTGGAAGGGCTCAGCTAATTGTGGGCTCCACCCCAGGGCTTGTGGTCCTGGGTGCTATAAGAAAGCAGGCTGAGTAGGCCACGGGGAGCAAGCCAGTAAGCAGCATTCCTTCGTGGCCTATGCATCAGCTGCCACTTCCAAGTTCCTGTCCCGACTTTCTTCAGTGGTAGCCTGAGCTGCAATACTAGCAAAAGGACTCAAAAGATCATTCGATCAAATTTGGAGTTATTCCCTGGCTAGGCTGTCAAAAGTGGTCCCAACACTGGTAGATCATGAGGACTGAGTGGTATATTCTAGAAAGAGGGAAGCAGTGTGTGTGTGTGTGTGTGTGTGTGTGTGTGTGTTGTAGAATATTATTTTAAGCTGTGTTACTTTTGTTTATGCTGCGAAGCATTTGCTTTAATGATGCAAAGATGTGTTGCTTTTATTTATGCTGAATTTGTTTAACTCTGTGAATCTTCGATTCTTTGCCTGTCTAAAGCACCTGATTGCCTAATAAAGATCCAAACAACCAATAGCAAGGCAGGAAAGAGGTTAGGTAGGGGTGGCAGGAGAGAGAATAAATAGAAGGAGAGATCTAGGAGCAAGAGATGAAGGAAGAGTAGAAGAGATTGATGCCAGGGGCCGGGCACCCAGCTACAGAGCCAGCCAAGAAAAAAGAAGGGAAGTAATACTACAGAAGTAAGAAAAGTTAAAAGTCCAGAGGCAAAAGACAGAGGAGATAATTTTAGAAATACTGGATAGAAATAATCCACACTTAGGCCAGGTATTTATAAGTAAGAACAAGTCCCCATGTGTGATTCCTTTGGAGCTTGCCCCCAAAGAGCAAAAGAGGACAAAACAATGAACAACATATTTGGTTTTCAAGATGGGGTTTCTCTGTATATCTTGGGCTATGTAGAAACTCACTCCACAGACCAGGCTGGCCTTGAACTCACAGAGATCAGCCTGCCTCTGCCTCCCAGGTGCTGGGGTTATAGGCCTGTACCCCACTGTCCAGCTGGATCTAGTTTTTTAAGTCCAGCTAACCAGTCTGCATATCTTTATTGGTAAGCCAAAGCCATTTACATTTAAGGTTATTATTGAGAGCTGTCATTTTATTGGCTGGATTATTCTTTCCTCCTTTTCTTCCCTATTCTATGGCTTTGCTGGTTTACTGTGTAGGGCACAATCGATTTCACACTGGTTCACCCTGCACACCCGCTCTTCATGTGCAGTTTATCCTCTTCTGTGTTCTTATGATCGAAACTTTCTTCCTCTTTCGTGTGTAGCATTTCTGTAATTATTTTCTGCTGTGTCAGCTGGGTGGATATGAAAAGCCTTAGTTTGCCCCTGTTTATCAGTTTGTAAAATGTTTGCTGGCTATGGAAGTTGGTAGTTCAGCCTGAAAAAGTTTCTCTTCCCCATATGTTTGCAAGTGTGCAATTCCCATAGTGTACAGAGATTTTTTTTAAATGGCTTAAATAATGTGTGTCCAAGAGAAACATTGTATACCCGTTTCTAGCTTCTAGTTTTCAGTGGCAAGGGGAAAGAGATCTCCTAGCAGCTAGTCTGAGACACATCTCTTAGGAGGGGAATTACTTTTTTCAGAGGGGAAGGCATTTATTCATATCATATTGTTGAAACACTGAGGGATTCTAAGAAGATTGTCCTTTTGTTTTGAGTAGGGAAAGTGTTCTGTGATTCTGGGGGGGGGGGGGAGACAAGGCCGGGGTAAGGGCGGACATAGCAGAGTGGAATTCCTGGAGAACTCAGAGGCAAACATCAGGACTTGCCACCAGTGCCCCGAGACTCTTCCAGGGTTTGGTTGATCCCTTAGGACCAGTTTAGACTTCCCAGTTCTCAAAATACAGTCACGTTATTTCCCCAAATATTTTCACTGTGGAAGAAATAGGTTCAGCAAACCAATGTCACAAGATTTAATGTATATGATGTTAGGTTCACCTGTGTATTCTGGGGAATTCTGTGTTTCCCCCACACCACTGAATCCTGGAGCTTCCCTCAGTACCTGGACTGCTGTTATATAAGAGAGAACAGAGTGTTTGTCCTAGTTAAATTCTCAGCCTAGAGGGAAAAACTGGAGTTTTGCCAAGAGGCATGGTTTCGTATCATATTAAGGTTCTTTTGTGGGAGCTGATTCCCCTGGAGTCGCAAGACTCAAAATGTTTTCCAACTCTGTCACTCCGTACCATTCCTCCTGGACATCTAAGGCTGGAGCCCTGGTTACAGTGTAAAAAAAAAAAAAAAAAGGCAGGATCTTGCTGTCATGCCCACATCTGCCTGATCCTAGAGACAGTGAGCTGTATGGGGCACTCGGGCTTTAAACCGGATCAACTTGGAATCTCTGGACATCCTACTTCACCGTTTGGAATGCCAGTTCCACCACTGAAAACGGAAACAATTTATAAAGAGCGTGTTCAATGCTTGGCTTCCTTAAAAAAAAAAATAAAAATAAAAATAAATAAAAGTTAAAAAAAATCTGACTTCACTTGGGGAGATCCTAGCTAAAGCCAGGAGTCCCGATCGCTGCACGCGTCGGCCCGGCCAGGAGGGGGCAGCAGACTCCAGCCCTGCGCTCCCGGGATCCACGAAGCCCGGGTGACAGCAAGGTCCCAGGGTCTCGGGTGCCGCAGCCCCACAGCTGCACCCTACTTTCTGGCCTCGGGAAGCAGAAGGACGTGCGATCAGGGACTCCACCTAGCAAGGAGAAGCTCTGGAGAGGACTCGGTTCCTCCAGACAAGGCTGGTCGCAATACGGCAGTGCGCCTGCGCAGAAACTGCTTCCGGGTGAGGTACTGCGCTTGCGCGTCCCTGCCTCTTCCCTTCTCCAGCTGCAGCAAGGTCTCAGGGCTGCAGGTGAGCTGAGAATTCATCTTGTAAAGGAAAATTTCTTGCAAAGGCATGAAAATAAACGGGTCTTTGCTGAGCATGCGCCATCTCTTTCAATCTCTCTGTCTCCACAGCAAGAAAAAAATTCAGAGGGCCCAGGGAAGGAGGGAAGGAGGCTGCTGTCCCAGAGATCTTTCCTGTCCCCATGCTGGCAGTTTCCTCTGGGGCCCTAAATATCGCACATATGTTATCTGCCTCTCTGGAGGTGGGGTGTGGTGGTCGGTGATGTTCAAACAGACTTCCTTCAAAAATGGCTTTCATGTCTGTGTAGCTCAGATGTAGGCAGTTTTACTTCTCAGTGGAAAACCCTTCGTGCATTTTTTATCTACAGATCTCTTAGTGGCTGGGCAGACCTTGGAAGACTTGAGACTGGGCAAGGCAGGGTTTTGCCCTATGCTTTTGTATGCCGAGCAGTAAATGATTTTGCTGCATTGCGTCAGGGTTGGTTTGTGGCCTTGTATCAGTACCTAGCCTTCTATCTGTTGCAGGAACAGGAACATGCCTCTCTCTTCCAGCCACACCCCATTCCTTACATGATCACACAGCCTCTCTTCTATAACGCTTGGTTGTGGTCGGGACAAGTGTAGTCTGCCATGGAGAAGAAGTAAGAAATGTCATTGACTGACTGGTGGGAATATTTTCAGTGTGCAAGGGTTGGGGATGGATTTACTTTAGCCTTCTTTAGAACAAGGCATAGTTCCCCTTGGAGATGAAGGCAGGGGTGTGGGACAACCGAGGGGAGACTTTCAGTAGGTTTGAGCCACCCCGTCACCCACTCAGGGCACTGAGCTTGGTGCCATGTGCAGGTCAGCAATGGACGGCAGTGTTACTTTGCTCTCAGTGAGCTCGACTGGCCAAGAAAAGAGAGATAGCTTTACACCAAATTAAAGGGATTCATGTCACAGGTGCAGTTTGGGGGTCCCAGGAAGAAGGTGAATCTACTTTTTACACTTGAAGGGAAATAAGGCCCTAATGTACTACCCAGTAGTGAATGCTCTGTCTTCCCAGCTTCGATTTCTAAGTATGGGTGTCTCCTTGGATGTTAGACATCTCAGACTATTTCCCACACTTGCTGCTGTCCCAGAGCTCTGACTCAGGGAAAAGCACTACCCACTCCCACATCTCCTAGAGGTCCAAGCCAGAGACCTGTGGGAGTCATCCTTGTGACTTCCCTGCCTTTATGTCCCCATCCACGCTGTCGATTCTAAATGCTGAATCTCTCAAGTTCGCCCACCTTCTCCACTTGATGGTTGAGTCCCATCAACCAGTTAGTTTACTGCAGTCAGCTCCCATCTTATGCCCCCGCCTTTCTGATGTGTGTCATATTGTAAGGCTTGCTTATTTAACCCCTCACTGGCCTTGGGGCAGGAGCCTCACACTCCCTTTGCAGGGCTGCTGAGTGCAGGGTGACGTTTCTGAAGGGGTGCTGTTTTCACAGCCCATTTGTTCTAGTGTTTAAGATTTGTCCTTATTATGTATTAATTGTGGTGTGTGTGTGTGTGTGTGTGTGTGTGTGTGTGTGTGTGTGTGTGTATGAATGTACTTGCCCTTGGAGTTCAAAGGAGACCATCACATCCCCTGGAACTAGGGTTACAGGCAGGTGTGAGCACCCAACTTGAGTGCTGGAAGCAGAGCTCAGGTTTTTTGCCAAGCGATCCCCAGCCTCCCTCTACCCTTTGCATTTCATTTTATTGCAAACATGCCTGGGTTCCAACTCCTGAGGTCTATGTACATGCTCATCTGCCTGGAACACTTGCTCACCGTGCTCATCCCTGCTTCCCCCGAGATCCCAGCTGGGACCTTGCCTCCCCTGGACACTCTTCCTCAGGCTCCAGCGCCCATCAGATGCCTGTCCTCCCTGTTGTTCCGTAGACAAGCCTGTGTCCACAGCCTTTCTGAAGTTGCTTCCTGCTGCCTACCAGGATAATGTTCACTAAACACTTGTGGAGAGGGAAGGAGTTGAAGTAAACTTTTCTGAATGTCCACATGACAGATTTGCTCTATGTCAGTTGGTCTCTTGGTGTGCTGAAAGAGTAATGGCCTTAGAAACAGGCGTAACCCTGAAATAATAATATTACTGCACAGCTAATACTTGTTTTAAAATGTACTTTCAATAGACACATAGTAATTATACATATTTAAGGGATAGACGGTGGCATTTCAGTATCATGTATTTAATGTTTAATCAACAGATTAGGATAATTGGCATTGCCTCAGACATTTATTATTTCTTTATGCTGGGACCATCTAAAATCCTATATACTAGCGGTTGAGGAATCTGTGGTTTTGCCATCCATAGCTATCCCACTGGGCTGAAGGACATTAGACTTTATTCCTCCTTCACAGGGGCTCTGTGTCCCCCTTATCCTCTCCCTCCCCACACCATTTCCAGTCTCTGCTAACTTTCTAGCTTCCCTCTGTGAGTGAGTACACATGGGATCTGTCTTTCTGAGCTTAGAACAACTAATGCTTATTGAATGCTCGTGGGCAGAGGAGTGTGAGTCAGCAGGTGGATGTGATGCACTGTGGTCACAGGTGTGGGGTCCCTCAGGAGAAGACTCCAGGATGGAGAGCTCTGAACGCATCCCTTCCTCTGCCTCCTAAACTTGTTCAGCCCAGTAACTCATCTCTCAGGGATGGTATTGCAGTTCCCGAGAGCAAGGCCTCCCTGATTCTGAAATCTTAGCTGGGTGTGGTTTGGACATCACTTGCCTTCCCTGTGTCTCTTATTTCCTCACCTGGGAAATAACAGTGGTAGCTCTTCCCTCCAAAGTTTGCACAGGGATTGCCGGAATGGTGTAGAATCACGTGCTAGTCGCTCAGAATTGCCTATTATAGTTTCTTTTGGAAATTTTTCTCTCCTTTGTTTATTTAGTTTTTGTATTGTATTTTGGTTACTTAGGTGCTTCCCACCCCCATCTTGGTGATCTCATTGTGGAGCCCTGGATGGTTTAGAACTCATGCTGTAGTCCAGGCGGACCTCAAACTCACATAAATCCTCACCGGGATTTACAGCATATGCCATTGTGCCCCAGCCAATACCGTGTGTGTGTGTGTGTGTGTGTGTGTGTGTGTACTTCAGTACTGTGCTTACACGTTTCCAGGAACTTCCCCTCCACCTCACAATTCCCTAGTTTTTTTTGGGGGGGGGTTAATGTTTTTGGGTATTTTGCCTGTACTCATGTCTGTACACCAAGAGAATTCCTGGTGCCCATGGAATGCAGAAGAGGGCACCTGATCCCCTGGGACTGGAGTTCTAGAGTCATGAGCTGCCCTGTTGGTTCTGGGAATTGAGCCCCAGTGTTCTGGAAGAGTAACCTGTGCTCTTAATGACTGAGCTGTCTCTCTAGCCTCCTGTTTTTATTTCTTCATCTCTTATTCAGTCATCAAGTCTTTCTTTCTTTTTTTTTTTCTTCCTTTCTTTAACTCAGGTGCTTCCTGCATGTTATGTCCCTTGGTGTAACTTCTTGGGTACAGATGAAATCTGCTGAATTAGCTCATCATGCAAATGTGAGGTTCTTTCAGAATGGTGTCTTTTTCTGCATCACCCTCTTTCTCTCTCTCTCTCTCTCTCTCTCTGTCTGTCTGTCTGTCTCTGTCTCTCTCTCCTTCCATCCCTCTCTCTGTGTGAGAGAGACTGGGGAGTGGGGAGGTTGGCAAGTCCCCCACTGTAGTCTGACTGGCCAGGAACTCATTGTGTAGTGAGGATGGCCTTGAATTCCTGGAAACCCTCCTGCCCCAGCCTCCTACATGCTGAGATCAGGCATGGTTTACAGTACCCTGTAAGTGACTCTGAGATAAGCTTAGCTCGTATCCTGGTCTGAGTTGCTCTCAGGAGACTGGTTGATCTAAAGGAGGAGCAGTGAGGAAATCAAAGGAATGCATGGGAGAGCCAGGGCAGCCAGTGGTAGAGCTCTTGCCTGGTGTGTACAAGACCTGGATAAATCCCGCTAGCACATGCATGCTCTCACACATGCACACACACACACACACACACACACACACACACACACACACACACACACACAAATGCTCAGGAAACTGCATGCCCCATTAACATTTTCAAGTTTACTAACATAATTATTTTTCCTCTGGAAAATGTTGGAAAAATGTTAAAATATAAAAATATCAAGATCCTGTGGCTAGATAGGCCATGGCCCTAGGGAGAGCTAAGTGGAAATAGTATTAAAGTGACTCCTAATTCCTTATTGCTATACCCATGGGTTAGTGCAGTTTTCAGTCCTCACCAGGGAAACTTCCTGCAGTAGTCAGTAACACAGACTCACAGCTGGTCCAGAGAATAAGTGACATGTGCAACTCACTAAATGGGATGTCTGTTATACCCTCCCTGCAAGGCCCAGGGATCTCCTAGGAAGAGGGACAGAAAGACTGCCCGAGCAAGACGTTGTGGATCACTACAAGCAACGTTTTCTAGACACAACAGGGCACATAAGAATTCACATTGAGTCTTACAGCATGCACAAGCTCTGTGCAAACTCAAGCAGGAAAAATCCAAGGGTGGAGATTGGAGAGATGGACACAAAGTCCTGCCCCTACCTGAGGAGCTATTAGCATTTGATGCTGCTGGAAGAGGGAGGGTCAGTTTTCTGGAAGGATATGGGCCCTGGTAGGTCAGCCACATCCAAGAGTGTTTTAGCAACACAAATTGGACTTTATGGGAATGAGAGAGAGAGAGAGAGAGAGAGAGAGAGAGAGAGAGAGCACAGAGTTGAGTGGGTCGGGACGTGGGGGTGGATATGGAAGGAGTTGGGGAAAATGAGAAAGTGAAAGTATGTTGAAATACATTATATGGAATTATTATGTAAGAGTCAGTAGTCAGTGTCGACTTTAATAAGCTGAAAAGCTACATCAGGTCTCATCTATAGTCCTCACTTTGGGGGGACCTGGGGAAATGAAGGGGCATGGCCTATGGATCCTCAACCAGCTAGAGCAGTGGTTCTCAGCCTTCCAAATGCTATGACCCTTTAAATCAGTTCCTTATCTAGTAGTGACCCCAACCCTAAAAGTATTTTCACTGCTTTTCCATAACTGTAATTTTTGTTAGTGTTGTGAATTGTAATGTAATTATCTACTATGCACATGGTCTTAGGTGACCCCATGAAAGGGTTACGACCCCCAAAAGGAATACAACCAACTGGTTGGGAACCGCTGAGCTAGAGGCTGACTCTTTGTCTCCTGAGGCTATCAAACTTCTGTTGCATCTTGGGTGGTTGAGGGCAAGGTTGCAATGGAACCTGTCCTTATCACTGGCGGTGCTTTACCTGTCCCATGAGTCACAGGTCAATCAATTAATTTTTGGGAAGGGCGTTATCATGCATAATGATTTACTATTGATTACAAGTAGATGTCTTAGCCACTGGGGAATTGGTAAGGAAGCAAATGGTCAGAGTGAATCCTCCACCCACTGCAGAGCCTTCTGTAGACAAAGGCCAAAGAGTTGGTGAGGAAGTAAGTGAGAACAGAGTCTGGTGAGAAGGTGAGGAAGACGGCGTGTGCAGGTGTTGGCTGTGTCTCATAGGTTGAGGGAAAGATGGCCTTGCAGGCCTGGAATCAAGGGTGCGTTGGAATGTTTAGTCAGCCTCACCAGAGCAGAAGTCTCTCTTGAAGACAGACAACATGCAATTAGCTGAGATGTTCTCCCACCCACGTGTGTTTGGAGTGATGAGGGGATGAGGGAGTGTGTTTGGAGATGGGGGATGAGATGGGTGGCGTAAGAGATCAAGATTGGACTTCCTTTCTTTGGTGGGCCAGTGAAATGCCATAGTTTTGTGGGATACCTATAATTTGTATACATATTTGCTCTCCAAAACTCAATATAATATGCCTCTCGCCTTTCTTTAGACTTGCTTCCTCACCAATGGACCTGGTTGGTTTTGGTTATGCAGCCCTTGTGACAGTTGGAAGTATTTTAGGATATAAGCGAAGAGGTAAGCCAAAACTTTCCTCCTTTCCCTCTCTCCCTTCCTCTCTCTTCCTCCCTCCCTCCCGCCTCCCTTCCTGATACAGTGTCCCATGTAGCTCAGGCTGGCTGCAAACTCACTACTGATCTGACAAGTGTTTGGATTATAGGTGGCCACCACCATGCCCTGCAGAAACACGGCAAAGGGGCTTAGTGGGGAGTTGGTGGCTGCAGTGGATAGGGGTGGCTGTGGTAGAGAGTTGGTGGCTGCAGTGAGGATTTGGTGGCTGTGCTGGGAACTCCTGAGGGTCTGTGAACAGGACAAGAATCTATAGATGTCTTTGAGATGGCTGAGAACCGCCATGCCTTGGGAGAGATTCATGGAGAGAAAGGAGTTATGTGGGGCCAAGCCTTCTGGGCTTCTGTCTTTCACAAAACTAATTTCACCAGCAATTTGCATAATTAATTAATCTTCTTCAAGGCAACTTACTCCTCCCATTTATGTAAAAAGAAAATATTTTATTTAAGGATACTTAATTATAAACGAATAGGAAGTTAGTGTAGGTATTAGTAATATTACTGTTTTTATAATTATTATTTTTGCAGGAAAGTAATAGATCACTCAGCTTTGGAGGGGCAAATCATAATTTCCCAACCCCACAAAAAATAATATTAGTTACTTACTTTTTATAATTATAAATATATAGACTTTATTAACTTCATAGTCAAACTTTCATTGTTTAATATGTATATTCTTTTTTATAATTAATTTTATTTATTTTTTACTTTTTAAAGAATGGGTCTCACTATGTAGCCCTAGCTGATCTTGAACTGACAGAGATCTGTTGGCTTCTGTCTCCTGAGTGTGTACCATCACACTCAGCTTTAAAAAAAAATTTAGAAAATTAATTATAGGCAGGTATAGTAAACTTGTGGAGTATTTTAGAGATAGTCCCATGAACTGGAGAGAAGAATGTGTGTTTTGCATGTGTAGGATAGGATATTCTGAATTTCTCTTTAGATCTATTTGACCTGTGGTGGAGTTTAACAGGTCTCTCTTTGTAGTCCTGACTGTCCTGGAGCTCACCATGTAGACCAGGCTGGCCTCAAACTAAGAGAGATCCTGCTGCCTCTGCATCCCAAGTGCTGGGATTAAAGGCGTGCGCCATCAAACCTGACCTAGTTCTTATGAACCTGTGACTGTTTTCTGATTGGTCGATTCTCTTCTGTCTTCCCCGGTAGCATCAGGGGCTTTGCTGGTGTGCTGCTGGACATGACGGACTTCTTTCTAGTTCTCCTTGTTCATGTCTTCCTATCATGAAGCTCATCCTTTGCTGTCCTTGCCATCGAGCCGCCCTCTCCCTCTTCTGTAGTATGACTGGAAGATTCTGTCCCCTTCTCTAGACTGCCTCTGGAGATGGCACAGACATCCAGGTCACAGACATCGGGCTTTCCCAGGGTTGCAGGGCTTAGGTCTGATGAGGCTCCCTCCCATTTCTCTTCAGCCATCATCCTGGGACCCTGCACACTTGCCGAGCAGTGTGGGCGTGGCTTACTTCAGAGTGCTTCTGTCTTTCTCTAAGAGTCTATTTTCCCCTATTCTGACTTCTTCAGTGAGTCACACAGAGGCGGCCACTAGTCTTTTTTTTTTCTTACATAATCTCTCTCTCTCTCCTTCCCCTCCCCTCCCCCTCTGCGCTTCTCTCCCCTCTTTCTCTGCTTCTTAACTACATGAGCTAAGAGAAGCATCCTGGGTCGCATGCTCCACCTTCCTGATATTCTGTCTTATCTGAGGCCCAAAGCAATGGAACCACACAGCTTTGGGCTGAACTTTGTGTAACTGAGCCAAAATAAATATTTCTTCTTTTAGATGGATTTTTAAATATTTTTTCCCCACCATGACAGAAAACTAGCTATTCAAAAGCTGAAATTTCATAAACGATAAACCATGATAGAATTACTTTTGAAGCAAGTTTTTTTTTCAAAGATGTGTCTAAATGCCTTCTATTTCAGAATTGAAAAGCATGTCTGTGTATTTCTGTCATCCTTTTTTAAAGAGTTGGCTCTCTCTCTCTCCCTCTCTCTCTCTCTCTCTCTCTCTCTCTCTCTCTCTCTCTCTCTGTGTGTGTGTGTGTGTGTGTGTGTGTGTGTGTCTGTCTCTGTCTGGTTCTGTTGTTGTAGGGTATTCACCACAGAAGCCTATTTGGACATGGGGTTAAACCAATATAAAGTCTTTATTAGCTGACCAGCAACTACACTGAGTGTTCAGGATCCCGCTGTAGCCCTGAACCTTTCCCAGGGTGAGCTTTTAAGCACAGAAACTATGTTCTCAGTTGACATATTCAGTTAACAAGAAGCTAGCCAGAAGCAGAACTACCGAAGCCAGAAAACAAGGTTGGTACTTTCCTAGACTTCCCTAGAACTATGGGCGCTGATGGGTTAGGACGTTGTTTTCATTTTGGCAGATGATGTTGTCTACCGCGGAGTTTTACAGCCTGAATGGCACATCCATCATGGAGTCAGTTGTGCTAAGGTCTGAGTGTCTACTAAGGTCTTAGACTCTAGTTACATTATGTCTGTCTGTCTGTACCTACATGGATGCATGGATGGCTATAGTTTGTGAGCCCAGCTGCATAGCTTAATTCCGTATGGATGTTTAAAAATGTAGAGATACTTCGTCTTCCACCTGGGAGTTCTAATCTAAAAGATTTTAAATTAGCTGACTTCTCTAAAGCAGGGATTACATTCAGATTACCCGCGTTACCTCCAGTGTGCAGCTCTCCGTCCAGAGCATAGGAAGTGCTTAGCATTTATCATGGTGCGTCGGGGTGGGTGGCTTGACTAGGAACAGGATGGCTGCATCTCCTACACTCTCATTGTAGTCTCCTTTTCAATACTGACATCTTAAGGCTAGAAGATGATTATTCAAGATAGAGCCATTGCTTAACCTGCACAGCGCTTCTCTCCTTACCCTTGTAAGGTAACTGTATTTATGAGATCAGTTTCCTGTCATCACAACCCCTCAGTAAAAAGATGCTACCAAGGAGATTGGGAGGTATGCTGGAACAAAAGGAACAACCGAGGAAGTCTTTCTTATCCTTACATGTGATGCCTGCCTCTACAGGGCTGTGTTCATGCTTTCCTGCCTTGTATTTAGTGTTTTGCAGGAAATTACCTGTGAAGGGGTCCATCCTTAGTTTGCCTTCATCCCTGTGGTGGTTTGAAAGAAAGTGCCCTCCAAAGAGAGTAGTACTGTGAGGAGGTATGGCTTTGTTGGAGTAGGCGTGGCCTTGTTGGAGGAAATGTGTCACTGCAGAGGCGGGTTTTGAGGTCTCGTATATGCTCAAGATACCACCCAGTGTCTCAGACAACTTTCTGTTGATTGCAAGATGTAGGACTCTCAACTACTTTCCAGCATCGTGTCTGCCTGCATAGGACCATGTCCCACCATGATGATAAGGGACTGAACCTCTGAACTATAAGTGAGCCACCTCAAATAAATGTTTTCTTTATAAGAGTTGATGTTGTCATGGTGTCTCTTCACAGCAATAGAAACCCTAACTAAGACAGTCCCCTTATAATGCCCACGTAAGAATGTTCGATTTATGTATTAGACTTTAAATGATGGAATGGATTCCTTTCATTTTTCAGCTTCCTTTCTCTTTTGTATTTCCCTTTCCTTTTTTAAGGCAGGGTCTGCCTACACAGCCCTGCCTGTCCTGGAATACTATGTAGACCAGCCTGCCCTCAAACTCACAGGGATTCGCCTGCTTTTGCCTCCTGAGTACTGGGATTAAAGGTGTGTGCCACCACACCTGGCTGACATTCTCCTTCCTCCTTCTTCATTTTAAAAATACTTACTTTCATTATTTTCAGTTGTGTGTATGTGCGGGTATGTACATAGGAATGGCAAGTGCCCAAGGAGGCCATGCAGGAGCAGTAGTCGCTATTAACTGCTGAGCCATCTACCCAGCTCATGTAATCCCTCTCTCCCTCCTCCCACAGGTGGAGTCCCATCTTTGATTGCCGGTCTCTCTGTTGGACTTTTGGCTGGATATGGAGCCTACCGTGTCTCCAATGACAAACGAGATGTCAAAGTGTCATTGTGTAAGTGACATGTTTTCCCCGGTTATAGAGGATGCCCCCTTCATACTTTGTACCAGGCTTCCTAGAAAACAAGCTGTCAACCTAAGGGTCTGTGAGTCTGTGTCAAGACTGAATACAGTTCTTGTTGCTTTCTAGACAGAAGTGATCAAAATTCATCGTACTGATGACCTCCCACCTCATTTTTCTATAACACATGCTATGAGAAATTGAATGAGAATAAGGATGGGATTATGACTAGATTTTCTTTTAGCTTTCTTGGGTGTATACTGAATGTGGTTTTCAAGTTGCTCTGAGAATTCCTTTATGCTATCTTATGCCATTCTGTTCAGAACACAGATGACTCTTATGCACAGCTATGCCTTAGGACTGTCTAAAAGAACAGTACTTTACTTCCTCTTCTAGCATCTTTCTTTTTTTCTGGGCTCAGCAAGAGAATGCCCACTACTTAATCTCCTAGGGTACCTGGTTTTAGTTTTTTCCACTAGTAAGCACTAATGATGCTTAAAATTCTAATTCCCGGTGTTTGGGTTTCAGTTACAGCTTTCTTCCTGGCCACGATAATGGGTGTGAGATTCAAGAGGTCCAAGAAAATAATGCCTGCTGGCTTGGTTGCAGGGTTAAGGTAAGAACCACTCTGATCTGTGCTTTTCTGGGAAGCATTTCCGAGTAGTGATGGTCTATGGCAGCACCACCTTGAATATGTCCAGTCTCTCTCAAGTGATGCTTGTTATGAGTAGTTTTCTCATCAGCCTGGTCCCAGAGCCACATCAGCCCTAAATAATACACAGAGACTCTTTATTAGATATAAAGCTGCTGGCCTGTTACTAGCATTTCTTATTGGCCAGCTCTGCCTTAAATATTAACCCATTTCTATTCATCAAAGTGTTTCCACATGGTCTTATCTTACTGGAGAGAGGGTCTGGACTTCTTCCTCTCAAGTCCCTACATCTTGACTCTCTTCCACTACATCTCCCAGAATCCTCCTTGTCTCCTAGTCCTGCCTGTCTTGCTTTCCTATTGGCCAATAAACAGGGCTTTATTCATTAACCAATAAGAGGAACACATTTACAGAATGACATCTCCCATCAGATGCTACTTTTTGTGAAGAATTCATTTTCTTGGGGATGGAGAAATGCTCACTTGCTGCTCTTGCAGGGGACCAGGTTTGGCTGATAACCAGTTCCAAGTAACCCACCACTCTCTTCTGGCCACCGTGTGCTCCAGGGGTACACACAGACACATGCAGACAAAACATTATTATACATAAAATAAAAATAAATAAGTTTTTAAAAAGAAATGAATTTTCATGCTGGAGGAATGACTCAGCAGCTGTGAGCACTTGCTACTTTCCCAGAGGAACTGAATTTGGTACCCAGAACCCATATCAGATGGCATATCATTTGCAACTTCAGGTCTAGGGGATCAGGCAAGGTCTTTTGGACTTTGCAGGGACACATACACACACACACACACACACACACACACACACACACACAGGAATAAATCTTTAAAAAAACATTTGAAAAGGATTAACTTTCATTTAAAAGGTCAAATAATTATTACAATAGGTATAACTATAATAGATATAAATCACTATGGGTTCATTAGTATTTTGTTTGACAGCATTCCTCTCTAGTATCCAATCAGAAGTATACATTTATCTATTTATCTTTATCAGGCTAAAGAGTTAAGTTCCCAGTCAGTTTTCCTGCTTGTAGCAGTAAATTGATTGAGTGACAATTTAAGTCATTGAATTTTGAAGGGAGACTTCTTTTTTTTTTTTTTTTTAGTAAATAACCTCAAATTCCTCTTAATTTGATAGAGTATGTTCATTTCATTTCATCCATTTGTTTATCTATTTGGTAGGGTGTTCTACTTGCTTTTCTGTAACTGTGATAGATTATCCTGATAAACAGAAACTTAGAGGAGAAGAGGGCATATTCCGGGGGGGGGGAGGGGGGAGATGCTGTCCACCTCGTCAGGTCAGGCGCAGCTGTATTAGGTGAGACGGCCTGTGGATACAGAAGGAATGAGATCACGTTCTATCCACATGGAGAGAAAATTACGAGGGGCAAACTACAAAACCTCAAAAGCCTTGATAACACCGTTCACCCAGACAGGCTTCACTTCCTAAAGGAGTCATAACCTTGCTAAACAGTGCCACTAGCTGAAGACTAAATGTTCTACATGAGCCTGTGGGGAGCTCTTCTCATTCCCACAGCTAATTGTTAGCGAGTAACTGTAACTCTTTGAATACTGAGGACTGAACCCAGGGCCTTGCCCGTGCCAGGCAAGCACTCTGCCACTGAGCTACATCTCCAGCCATTGATCCTGTAATTCTATCCATGAAAATAAACATACTATCCAGTAAAATATAGAGAAAATGTTTCCAGTTTCTCCTGGGAGCAGCCCCTGAGTGTTGAAAGCCATAGACATTGCCTGCCTTTGGTACACATTTTCATTTTTCAGGAATTGTTTCAAAGAAGTACGCAAAGCCTAATGTTCACTGTGGCTGTATTTCTAATAGAAAATAGAAGCCAGAGAATTAAAGCTGCTCAGAAATTCACCCAAAACATTTTATCCATTTAAGGAATGTTAAACATTTATTTGCATATCATACTTGAAAAATTAATTGGCATCATGGAAAATTAATGATGTCCTAAGAAAACATGAAAACATACCAAATATTGTTAGACACAATGTTTAAAGATGCCTATGGCAAAATCCAAGACGAGAAGGGAATACTTCAAAGTGTCAGGAATATTTAGCCCTGGGTTAACCCGAATAGTTTGATGGTCTTCTTGCTGTAGAATTTCCTAGAGTGGCTCTGGTGTGGTGGTTTTTATTTAGTGGGAGTTGTTGCCAAAGACAACTTTCCAGCAGTGTCCCTGACAAGAAGATGATGTTTGATGCTGGGAAGGATCAAAATTGGGATTAGTGATGAGAAAAGACCCCAGTGATGGGACATTCCTGATACTCTAAAAAAAATAATGCCCCCACTGAATTACTTGTTGGTCCTTTCTTCTTTTGTAAAAAGATGTATTTCTTTGTGTATGTGTGTGTGTGTGTAGGTGCACACATGCCCATGCATGTGCATACATATGTATCCCGTGAGTGTTCAGGTGCCTACAGATTCCTAAAGAGATGGTCAGACCCCTTGGGCCTGGGGTTCTGTATAATTTATTGTTGTGAGCACCTGCCATGGATGCAGGAACTGAACTCATGTCCTCTGGAAGAGCTGCGTTTGCTCTTAACATCTGAACCATCTCTCCAGCACCCTCGATTATTTTTTCAAGTTGCTTTTCTTGGGTAGATTTTGGAAGTTTACATTTTTGGTGGCCTATCTCCCTCATCCAAGGTTGTCAGAACAGTGGGTTTGGTTCCTCTCATCTGTTCAGGGAATTTTTTTTTTTTTTTAAGTTAGAACACAGGAAAAATGAATCCCCTACTGCTCTAACGAATGTTAATAGAGACCACAGATAGGAACAGGACAGGGCATAAATGACGTTCCTGTCCATCAGAGTGACCTTCATCTCTCTTCCTCTTCTGTTTATTCAGCCTGGTGATGATCCTGAGACTGGTCCTGCTGTTGCTTTAACATCTAGAGGAGCCAAGAGCCAAACCCCCATCATTCTACTGTACCTGACTGAGCAGGTTCTTGCATTTCAAAGAGCAATTTAAAGAGGTGGCAAATGTCTTACACCAAAACAAAAATAATGTCACCCTAATATTGAAAACTAATTATCAATATTTGTTTCCCTCTTTTTTATTTAAAGCACACATTTTACCTGTTTCTGTTTGTTAACCTTGGTCTTTAATGAGTTGTTATGTATTCACTTGCTCTATCTCATTTTGTGTGTGGAATTTGGGGGCCTGCTGTTTTCTGATTCTGACAATTCCAAACACTTATGACCTAGATAAGTTTAAGTTAAACTGCAGGGATTCCTGGAGTGAACCACAGGGCATGACAATGAGTTGTATGTCCCTTTGTTACGGTAGGGATTTTATTTGTATTGTCGGCGGGAGTTTTTGCACTGAAGGGATTCTATGCTCAGCTCATTAGTGTCCTGACAGATTGTACTCAGTATTCCAATAAAATACATTCCATTTTCATCCTCCTCATTCATTATTGTGTCTTTCCTGGAAACGCCATCATCTTTGACGTTTACATGTTTCCCTAAGAGTAAAAGGGATGTCAGGGAGTGTTGTCACACCAGCTCTCCATACTTCTCAGGAGCATCTCCCTCTCCTCTCATCTCCATGGCAGTCACCACTCCATTTTCAAAATAGCTGTAGTGCCCAAAGCAGTTTTATGGACCAGGTGGACCCCCTAGAGATCCTGCTCATTTTTCACTGCTCGTGTGATCATGGGAAGTCAGTCTTCCCCTGAGGACTCTGCCTCATCCCTGAGAGGTGTTGGTGGTTAGTGTGCCCTCCAGGGCACCAAGACTCACAGTTCGGTCCTTCAGACTGTGGCCTTTGGTGAGATGGGAGGGGTGGAGAGCCCCAGCTGCAGGCTGGTAGGAGGGGAACTTACCAGACTCCAGCCGTAAGGAGTTGATGAAGGGAGAGCGCAAACCCACTCAGTGAACCAAATAGGAAACCCATACAGACTTCTTTGGCACAGTTTAAGGATCTCCTTTAAAATAGAAAAAAAGAGTTCCCACTGACCCAGCAATGCCAAAGAGATTGCTACCACTGCTGGGCTGGGAACAAGTTTACTGTATTTATAAGATACAGTAAATGATGGAAAGCTGGGCTGGGAACAAGTTTACTGTATTTATAAGATACAGTAAATGATGGAAAGTTTTAGAAGCTAATGGAAGCTATGCTGCGTCCTGGACTTTTGCCAAAAGGCAGTGAAAGTGAGTGATCACTGGCGATGCATGCATTTGTGTTGTTGTTGTGTTTGTGTTTTGTTCTGTGAGGGTCAGCAAGGTGGTTCAGCAGGCGAGGTTGCTTACAGTGTACAGTTCAATCCCCAGAGTCTACAGGGTATGAAGACAGTTGTTCTCAGACATCCACACTTGCCAAGGAAAGCAGAGGTGTACACACACACACACACACACACACACACACACAAATAAATGGAATGGAATGTAATCCTTTTGACTTCCACTTTCTACACATATGTCTATTCTCACACAGTACACAGAATGCAGTTACTATAGTGCTCATGTTTTTAAGAGACATGCCTTGTCAAATCTGAATGTGTTCTTCACCGTTCCAATGGGGGGCTTCCCCTGGCTTCCAGGTTGGAGAAATCTGTTAATTGTAGGGATTTGGCTCGTCTGACCATGTAAAAGTCCTACCATGTAAAAGTCTACAATCGCTGAGGGTAATGTAGCAAAATAAATTCAAAGGAGGCATGTTCTTACAAATGAGAAAAAAATGTAGAAATGTATATTTCCTGGAGAGATGCTCAGTGGTTAAGGAAGCTTCCAACTCTTCCCAAGGACCCGAGTTGTGGTTTGTGAAAGGGTTTCGTTTTATAGTTCTCACTCACTGTAGACTAGGCTGGCTTCAAATTCCAGCAATTCCCCCACCTTAGCTTCCTGATTACAGGCGTACATCACCACATATGGCTGTAAGGAGGAGATTGAAATGAATAGTGGAACCTAGAACATTCAGGGATGTCATATGGTTAAAAGGACAGCTCCCCTAATGTTTAAGAGGCTCTGTCTGGTACTTTTCTGTGTGGCCCTGTTCAGTGCTGCCCTCTCGAGGCAACCATGGGTAAAACACTTCTTGGTCTGTTACCATGCAGAATTTCCTCTGATGAAAGTCAGAGACTTAGGAGATTTTGCCCTTGGATAGAAGCTTGGAAGAATGGTTAAGGGTTTGAGACACTGTCCAGTGAGGGAGACTTACAGCGCTCTTTCCGGCTCCCGGCGCTGTGTTTATCTGACCCCGAGGACCACACTTCACCCTCGCTCCGGGCATGCATGGGACTTTAGCTTTGATCCTTTCCAGTTTCAAAGAAGGCAGCCGAAGCCAACAGACATAATGAGAGCCTTTCTACCTTGTGTTCTTTGTATGAGGAATCTGCTTTCCCAGCGTGCAGATGCTCACCATTCAGCCTCTGCAGGAATGAGTTCTAAGCAGAAGGGTGAACTAGAAGTAATGAACTCAGTAAGTATCAAGGCCTCCTCTTGTCCACCCCAGGGAGACTCAAGAGGGAGCTGAGCACAGGCTGCCTCCAACGCTTGCTCAGACCTTCTGGGTCCTCTGTGTCCAAAGGCCTGTGTTATGACAGGCCCATCCCTCCCAATGTCCCCAGCATAACCAACAAACTCACCAACTGCATCCAACCTTGGTGCAATCACCACCTCACCATCTCTGTCATCTCATGCAGTCTACAATCAAGCGTTCCACTGAGCAGCTGGAGATGAAATTATCCCTGTCCATCACTACTTAAAACAGAAATAGATCATCACAGCCTCTGCAACCAGAATTATTTCTTAATGCTGATGTGATGTGGGTCAAGCCCATCAATTAATCCCTCTGGGTCTCCTTTTCTATCTATCCAGGAAGCTACATGCTCACCTTTCCCTGAGTCATAAGCCAGGTTTGGAATCCTCATATGATAAGTAGGAGAAAGTGGCTTCTAATGAAGAACACTGGATAAAACGTTACGTAAGGGAAAAGCATTCACTATGTAACATGGTCCTCAGCTACTAACAGCAAAGAGCTGGTGATGTCTGAGCTTTGGTCCCCAACGCTTCACACACTCAGTGTTAGCATGGGCTGCACTCTCTCTTGCCTTCTGCGGGACTTTGCTGTTCTGTTTCTCTGGCCAGAAAGAACAGTGTGCAGTCTCCAGTAGAGTGTACAGAAGATCCGGTGGCAAGACAAACAAGCGAAGTGTGCTTCTAAATGCCTGCTTAGAAAACATTAAACTTTGAGTCACACATTTAAAAGCATAAATACTTGAAACATAGCTGCACACACGCCCTTGTTTTTGGGAATGCCTCCTGGGTACGTAGAAATAGGTTTCCTTAAAAACTGCATTTCTTTGCAAACATGAACTCAGAGCAGTTGCAGTTGCCTGCACTGTACTGGCACAAAACTGGGCCTGTCAACAGCTAATCTTGCTGTTTGGGAGGAGGGGATGGACTGGTGGGAGCTGGTGGGAGGAGGGCACAGAGAGATGACCGGGATGACAGCAATGAATGGGACAATGCGTTATACACATGTATAAGATTTTCAAAGAATGAGTTAAATTGATAAAAAAAAATGTAATTAGACATTCATTTAAAAAACCATAGCTCTGCACAATGTAACTTTGCACAGTGTGTACTTTGGCGCATTATGTAACAGTTTCGGGAGTTATGAAACCATCTGTAGCTGAGCCCAGGCCTTGAGAATTGCTGCTTCCAATAAGTCCTTCCTTGTGTCTCTATTCAGGCAACAAGCGGCACTGAAGCCATTGAATTTCACTGTCTGGTTCTTTGCTCTGTCCCATTTTCCACACCGCTGAGACAGGTGTTGACCGGACTCCATCAAGATGTTCCTGTCCTGTATGAAGCCCACACAGCATGTCCACAGGCAGACATTCACTTGTGTATCACACATGAAACTAAAGTACAGTTGTTTCCAAATCTAGCAAAACTAGTTTGTAGAGGCTTGAGAGATGGCTGGGCAGTTAAAACCAGTGGCTGCCCTTTCAGAGGACCCAGCAGTCCCATGTGGCCACCAAGATTTGTATCTCCAGTTCTAGGGGACCCAGTAACCTCTTCTGGTCTCCCTGGGTACCAGGTACACATATGGTGCACAGACACATACAGAGCTGTCATATACATATAATAAAAATATACTAAAATTAGCTTTTAGATCTTCCTTCCTTTGGTTGTAGTGTATAACAGACATCATTCAGAAGCACAAAGATCAGAATGCTCTGGTCCCCAGCACAGGCACAGGCGGTGTGTATTGTAAACAGAGAAAAGAAGCCACACAGATGCAGAAAGTAGAAGACTGGAGAAGACTTCCATTGCAAGGTAGATGTGTTTTGCTTGAAGTTGGGTAGCTAGAGAGTGCATTCAAAGGTACTTTGCAATATCATTAAACACCAAGTTAAACTTCAGCTTCCTAAATAAGGAGAACTCTTTTAAGCCAAACAAATCAACTGGATACCCACGACACCTGACTTATGGAGAGTAGAGTCACTCCTGCATACTCACGATGAATGAAGAACATAGGGGAGAACTCTGCCTTCAATCTCTCTTGCACCTGCTGGATGAGAATGAAGAAGGACTTGGGCTTGGCTACACTATCTCACTCCTATATTTGGGAAAGATTGTTTCAACACTCTAAATTAGTTTACTGACTTGGTACTATGGTCATGTTTTGTACCTATTTATAGGGACTGACACACAGAAGCCCATGAGAGAAACACATTAAACACAGTGTGAAAGTAACCTGAGTCACCATTATTGAGGGAATACAGCAGAAGCCGAAGGGAGAAGAGTCTAACCAAACACAAACCACATCCAAAGGGTGTTTGGTGAGAAGGTAAAAATCCAGGACACCCATGTCAATGTGAATTTCCAAGAAAACACCTCTCATTAGCATAAGCACATTCCCACAACATTTGGGAATACTTATGTTAATAATCATTATTTGTCTGAAACTCAACTATTTGTTCTGTGCCTTACCTGGTGGTCCAGTCAACAGACATACTCCCTACTTGCTCTTTACAGCATCTCCCAGCTTAGCTAAAAAGAGGTTTCCCACTTGCTTTAGCCCTTGCCTGCCACTCATGAAACCCTCACAGGGAGTTTCTTGTAACAGCCCACACTCACTGACACACAGAGAGTTAAATCTGCCTGAATTCCAATCTTCAAGCTCTCCACTAGTAGCCTTGAATAGGAAACACATTAATAAACCTGTCTAGCAACCCAGGCATGACTTTGCTTTTTTTTTTTTTCTAATCTCTCACAGAAACTTCTGGCCTCTGGGCAATGTGGGAGCAACTTTTCTCTTATTGGATTGTCTCCCCTTACCTGGGAGGGGCTTATTCAAATTAACAAATAGCTTATAAAACATCAGGAACTCTTGTGTTGTGGAGTTTTTTTTAGAGGGAACAGCTTTTAAACAAGGTAAGTACTAAATCA